CCCCAAAACCCCAAAACCCCAAAACCCCAGGCATCTATATCTTAGCAAATGAGTTACAAATTAGAATTATTGATATTTCAATGCATGCAAGAACAAGATAAAAGTTTATGACCTAAGAATGCGTATATTATGATAATATATCAAATCAAGCTTTTTTCATAAAACTTTCTAGAGCATTACAAGCACTCTTAATCTTAAACAGTAAGTGAGTTAACTCCTAGTGATCGCATTCGAACTATATTTTTCTCAATCTAAGATAGTCTCTCTTTGAAGACCACTCGGTCTCTTCTACAGCGCCTCCTTTCACAAAGTCTCCTTAAGACAATAAGACCATTGTTATTTAGAATCTAGGTGCGAATAATTTATTAAGATTTTTGCTACTGAGCTGATAGAGAATTCTCCACTCTAAATCAACAAGTCTACTGTTAGTTACCATCAAGTTATCATCCTAGAGTGCGAGATTTAATGGGAATTTCTTTGAATACTGTTGAGTCATACTCTACTATTCATCATCATATACATTTGAAAGCTGATCTACTCGCTTTAAATAGGCTAGTCCGAATATCTTTTGCATATCTTGCGCTCTAGATTTCAAGCCAAGTTCATCAATAATATGTGAAAACTCTTCTTATCCCTTAAGATTGGCTTTGAATATATTTGTGCAAATAATAAGAACTGCATTGAATAGGGAATTTAGAGCATCTGCTGACTAATTGTTAGGATCTGATAGCTATTTTATCAAGTGGAAGGCGTCTGACTTTGCACCTGTTGATAGAATAAGATGGAAACTATCTTCGAAAATCTAAGGGGCGTTTTGCAAGAAGAGATCTCTATTTTAGTTTATAACCTCCTTGATATTTCTAATCTCTGACTTATCTATTTCTAAGATGGAATCCATTAATTGATTAAGAGTTAAGATAATGAAATTTAATAAAAATTATAGATTTTAATTTATAGCTAATTGATTATCAATTTATATATTTATATTAGAGTTTAAAATTCATGTACTAAAAAAGTAGAACCATTCAATCCTTCAAGTTATCCATTCATGAAAATTGCAGGCTACTCAACTAGTTGAAACATTCTACAATAGATCTGGCTGATAAGAGAAGCTTTGCCTGCCAACCATCTGGAGACATTGAGACATCTAACTTTAGCATTATGATGTCTAGAGAATCTTCTGATTCAGACTTGCCTATCATGGAAAATCCCATATTGATAAAAACCATATAAAATTAGTTTCCTCCCAATCATAGGTCAAATATTACAGAGTAATAAGCTATCTCTTCAGTTCATTAAAAGAAAATCATCTCAATTTCAAAGATTAATTCGTAAGACGAAGATGATGAGCTTGAGGATACTACAGCTTTACAAGTCGAGGATGAGAAGAGTTAAGATCATCATATTAATAAGATCAGATTGCTATAGGTTAATCTCGGATATACTCCCTTGGGTTCAGCCAGACTTTCTGTCAAAAAGGGTAGTTCAATTAATAAACCTGAGAACAAAGAAGAAATACTGAAGGATAGAGCAAGTATGTTTAGAAGGTAGCATACTCATAATGTAAATATGCATGGAACTAGAGGAAATAGTATTAGTGAAAAGCCCTAGACCAATAACATTGCATAATCAATAGATAGCACTAAAAAGCCATAAAATTTCCAGGTTACAAATCCCAATAGTCAAATTTAATCAGAAATATAGAATAAGGAAGAACTGATCAATATAAATACTGCCAAAAAAGATACCAAGTAAGTAGAGCAGCTGGAAAACACACTGATGCTTAGCATTGTAGAAGATGAAAAATAGCAATTTCAATAATTTAAAGAGACTTTTGTTCCTACAGGGAAACTAGACCTTATAAAAGAAAAATATAAATTCAGTAAAAAATTACCCATGTATCCCCCTTAAGCCTAAAGCCAATTGTAGACCTTGAAAACTCATAAATTATTTGGCTTTTAAAGCAAGCAAGGATCTAATGGTGGTGGAAGTTCAAGAATTGGATCTGAAAGTCAAAGAGCTAGTATAGTTAGCAAGGCTTATGATATATAAAAGGAAATATAATAAAATCCGTCTAATAACTAGGCGCAAAATTTAAGGAGAAAAAAATCTCTACTGCATCCTAATTCCTAAATTCCTTAAAATAGAGCTAATACTGGATCAATGATAGGGTCTATGAAACCTTAAACAGGTAAAAACTATAAACAAACTCAGTATAAACCAGACAATTTAGGACTTAAGTAATTGACATTGTAAGCCTCATCCCTATTTAATATCAGTATTGATAAGATAACTAATGCAGCAGTTTAAGAATCTCCCAGTCACCTTTCAAACATGAATGTGGGATTATTTACTCCAAAGCACAATGATCATCAAAATGCTAGTCTTAATACAACCTAGTAAATAGCATAAATTGTCTAATCAGTTTAACCATCCGAGAGAAGTAATTTCCAATACACTCCAAAGTTCTTCAAACCAAATGCAGCTAATAATGGAGGCCAATAGACAATGAATCACTCTCATAATAACTCTCAAACTAACTTTGCATTAATGCCCTCTGATTTTCATTAGTTGATGAAGTAATAAAGTTAGGATTCGCAGCCATATTATGAAATATTTGATGGTAAAAACAGATAGAACTCCTCTTTCGAAAGATTAGAGAAGGAGATTCTTGATACGAACAATTAATATCGATCACCAGTCAAAGAATACAAGGAGAGTCCTTGTGCAATGAACTAACGCCTGAAAAATAAACTATCAACCCCTAAATCAGCTATGTCTGGGGGTATGACAAACTTCAGTCAAAATGCAACCAACTATCAAACTCTGATCACAAACTCTCAGAACTAATATGAGAAGTTCAATATGTCGAACAATAAAAAGGAAAGTATCATAGAGAGGCTGAGCACAAACAATGCAATAAATAACCATAAAATAACGAATATGAATCATTATCCTTACTGAAATGCTTGATTTCAAAGAATTCATTTCTATATGAAATCTTTAAAATTCTCCAATAAAGCTGTTAACCAAATTAATAGTGACTGATGAAGAATAGTGCAGATTCCAATTTTCTAGAGTAATTATAAGCATAAATTAGTAAAGTTTGAATTTCACATAAAACTTCATCATAATTTTATTTTCTATTTAGCCAAGCGGGGTTTTGGGGTTTTGGGGTTTTGGGGTTTTGGGG